CGAGCTCCAGCAGGTACTGCCCGGCACCCCCCCGCCCCCCCGGGACCCCTGACCCCAGCTCATGGCCGCCCTCTCCCTTGCAGACCAAGCCCCTTGCCTCGGTGCTCAAGGACGTCTGCGATGCGTGAGTACTGCACCCGCCACCCGCCGCCGGGTTGTGACAGCCTGTGACTGGGCTGCCGCTGGCCCGGTGGCGACCGGCACTAGCCGTACGGCGCTGTGACCGGCTGCCCGTCGCCGCAGGTGGAGCCTGCCCAACGCGGAGCGCTATGCCCTGCAGTATGCAGACGGGCGGCAGACCTACATCACCGAGTCGGTGAGACATCCCCCGACCTCTCCCCGGCCCTGCCGGCACAGTGCTTGCAAGCTCACCGGTTCCTTTCTTCTTACAGAACCGCGGGGAGATTAAGAACGGGAGCATTTTACGACTGACCACCTCCCCGGTACATCCCTCTGTCCCCCCGTCTCCTTCTCCGCCACGTGCTCTGGTGGGATGTCCCCCTGCGATGGGGCGATGCGGTGCTCCAAGCCCTCTGCTGCTGCCTCGCTCAGCCACTTCTGGCTCGTGACGGCTCCTCTCGGTGCCTCAGATCCATCAGACCTGTCTCAACCTTCATTCTCCCTTGGCAGAGCTTGGGGGAGTTTGAAGAGACGCTAGTCTTCTTGAGATGCTTTGGACGCATGGGCCAACTCATCAAGCGTTCCTAGCATCGTGCCAGCTTGACCTCCTTCCTCAGCTCCTGCTGGTCTCTGCTCTGATGGCTCTTTCTCTCAGTCCAGCTCCTCACTGGGGCTGCTCTAAGCTGAGCCTCCTTCCAAAACTTGTGCTTAAGCTTTTCCAGCCTTCTCCAAGCTTCTCACTGTCTTTCGATGAGCCCCTTTGGCTTGATTCTTTCCTTCCTGGTAGGACCAAGAAGCAGAGAGGTTGTACAGCGGGATCCAGAGCAACAACTCAGATGTGAAGACTGACTCGCTGAAGAAGCTTGCAAGCCTCTCCCAAGATGTTACCTTTGCTCAGGAGTTTATCAACAGGAATGGCTTGAAACAAATCTTCTATATTGTGGAAGAAGGGAATGAGTGAGTATCAGGAGAGGACTTTCCTTGCAGTTCTTGACTTTTCTTCACCCTTGCTAATGCTGTATGAGCTCCAAGCCAGGTGTTGGAGTGGACTCGGTTCATGTTCCTGGCTTGTTGATCCCTGTGCTGCAGCACAAAGGGCAGCGCTGGCAGCAGGGTGCTTGGCTCTGCAGGCTCCTTACCTGCAGGTATGTGGCTATGTCCCCACACGCTGGCAGCTGGGGGAAGGTCCCCAGGGGTCTGTGGACCTGACTCCTTGTGCATGTGCCCAGACTTTAACCTCCCATCCCTTCACTGGCTGGGTCATGTGCAGTCCCATGGATTTTGCTGCCAGGAGACCTCCTGTGATGATCGTAGCCTCTGCTGCTGCTCATTCCTGCCACCCCAAATAATCCCTCTGCCATGAGGTTTTAGCTGCAAGAGGTCTGCAGGCAGCTCAGGAAAACCCTGGTTGCCAAACTAGTGCCTGCCTGACTCTTTCAGGATGTGATGGTGCATCTCCTCTGAGCTCCTATCTCACAGAGGATGCGGAGCCCAAAACCAGGCAGCACAGTGGGTGTTTCTTGGAAGTAGGGGGAGGGATTTGGGGTGGCTTGGCTTTCCCAAGGGCTGGTCTGCAGTGATCTTTGTACTGTGCAGCTTTCCAGAAACTGTTGAACTTCCCCTGCCTTGACTTCCTGGGATGACTAAGCAAGAGTCCGATTTCTTACCCAACAGTCTCTCTTTCCTTTCTTCTGCTCACTGCTGTCTGCCTTTCTAGTTATTTTTAACATACCCACCAACATGCAGCTGTACTCCTGCCTTATGGTGGTGACTGCTGAGTATCTGGACCCACTTTACTGCGTTTGCTCATCTGTTCCTCCAGTACAGGGGAGATGCTAGCTCATGCCCTGAAGGCCTTCATGGAGCTGATGGAGCATGATTTTGTTTCCTGGGAGACTCTTAGTGCAGCCTTCATCAAGAAGGTAAGCACCTGCTGCAGGTTCCCCAGCCTGTGCCCTTGGGATTCCTTGTTGTCCTCATCACCCAGGCTCAGCCTGCTGTCAACGGATGGTTTTGTGTCTCGTAGATAGTGAGTTACGTCAATATGAACGCAGTGGATGCATCTGTCCAGCAGCTCTCTTTGTCTATCTTGGAGAACATGGTACCTGCCAGTCGCCTCCTCTTTGAGCTAGTCAAAAAAGAAGTGACATTGGATCGTCTTCTCACCCACCTGCAGGTGTAAGTGGAGAGGCCAGAGCACCGTTCGCCCCCATCCCAAAGCTGGTGGAGATGAAGCGGTGGAGGGATTTTTCCGAGTGTTGCTGATTATCCCTGGCACAATGTTGTATTGTACCTTCCTAAACAATTTGCGGGTGGGCAGCCTGTCCTGTCCCCACTGCTGGGGGAGGGATGGACTGTCCTGGAAACCATCCTATTTCCAGGTCAGATTCCTTCATTCATGACCCGTTTCATTCAGGTATTTTGGTTCTTGAGCTGACGTGCCGTTTTTGTGGTGTTGGCTCTTCCTTCCCTTTCCCTGGTGTATTTAGGAGTGTATTCCCTGCAACTTGGGGTGCTGTACTGAAGAAACAGAGTTTGTTAAAGCCCTCAGCTAAGGCGGGTTTTGCACTCCCACATCTGCCTCATACCTTTGCATCTCTCCAGTTTGGAGGTTTTTCTTTCTAGAAAATGGAGAGGCTTGTGCCCAGGGCTCCTGCCAGGCAGGAATCTGCTGTTCACCCTGGGTTTTCCTGCAGCTCCAAAATGCTGCACCCACGGGTGTGTGCAGAGCAATATCTGACCCATCCGTGGGTGCTCTGCAGTCACAGCTGTGGGGACCATCTCACCCCCGGTCCCGCTGTCACCAGCTGCCCACTCATGGCTCTCGCCTCTCTGGGTCCCCCAGCTCCACGCAGTGGGGTCCAGCAGTGAAGGGGGGAGAGGACTCTGCTTTGGGGAAGGCAAGACCATCCTCAGAGCTGGTGACTCTCCACATCCTCATCATCCTCCTTCTACAGGACAAACGCCCAGCTGCAGCTGAAGGCGATGGCCCTGCTCATTGCACTGCTGCTGGCTGCAACTGACGCTGAGCGGCGGGTAAGGGGCTGCTCTCTGCTCACGGAGTAGTTTTAGGGGGATGCAAGATCACAAATGACAGGAGAAGTATCGCAGCTGGTGGTGGCACGGTGACCGTGATGGCCTAGACCCAGCGCGTGGCACCTCTGGGCCATCACGGCTGGGCCCTCCTGTGATGGGGGCTTGGGCAGCTGGGTCCTCCACTGTAGTGTTTGTGTTCTTTGGGATGGCGGGGCTGCAAGAGGTGCCTGGAGATGTTTCCCGTCAGTGTCCTCACTCTGCCTGTTCTTGACTGACACAACCTGTCCTGGCAGCCTGGTGGGGCAGGATCTGTTTGAGCCCCATTGGGGTGGGCTAGTCCTGGCTGCCAGGGCAGTGGAAGCTGGGGGCAGGTCTCCTGCTCACCAGTGTCACTTCTGAGACTGCCGGTTCTTTTCTGTCCCCAGCCTGCTGGTGGCCCAAAGCCAGGCATAGTGGGGAAGCGGATCTGCAGAGGGAACACCGGCTTTTTTTGGGAAATGGTGGTGTGCTGAGCTGGGGAACATCTCACAGCCTCTTCCCTTTCTAGGACATCATGGACTACCTGAGGGAGAAGAACATCAGGCAGTTTATCCACAAGGTGAGGAGCTGGGGTCATGCAAGAGTCTGCTCTGTGCTTCATCCTCTGTCCTTCCTCCCCAGCCCCTGCCCCCTCAGGCCCTGCCTTCAGTGACCGTGCCTGGCTGGGTTGCCTGCATGCCACACACCCCTTCCTTGGTGCCTCCTGTGGGTGTTGCCATGCTGGCAACGTGCCCAGGGTTGCACCCCCAGCTGCCTGCGGTTCGGCACACCCAGCTCTCGCCCAACCCCAAGGGGAGCTGCCTGCTTCCTAAGGCCCCTTCAAACAGCAGGACCTGCTGGGCTGTGGCTGTTTTGCCCTGGACTTGGAGGAACGAGGAGCAGCAGCCTGGGGGAACCTGCTCACTCGTTGTCTCCTGTAGAACATCATCCACAGCTCTGAGCCACTGGGGGACGAGATGGCCCATTACCTGTACGTGCTGCAGTCCATCAGCCTCAACCTGTGCGAGCGCCGCATGAGGACCTCCATGGATCCCTACTCACAGGTCTGGGAGCACTCTCCTTGTGAGAATGGCCCTGCTCTCTTCCACCTGATATGAAGGTTCACCTTTGGGTGAACCCAGCACATTTGATTTCATTGTTGGTTTGTCCTGGGAGAACCTGCTTGCATGGGGCTCACTGGCATCCCCTTCTCTCCGCTCTCCCTCCAGGAACAGCGGGAGCTCCTCCAGTCTCTGCGCCAAACTGCCTTTGAGTCGGAGAGCGAGGCACCTGCCAGCAACTTCAGCACTGAGCGCCGGCGATCCCTGTGTGCCAAGGAGTTCCGCAAGCTGGGCTTCATGGTGTGTCCCTCCCCAGCCCCACGCTGGCTCTGCCACCCGGCATTGGTGGCACCTTCTGATGGCTCCCCTAAGGCTGGTGTCCCTGTTGATCCTGATGGGCCACCAGGCAGTACTTCTTGTCCCTTGGCACCGCTAAACAGCGAGTGCTGCAGAGCTGCCGGGACTCAAAAGGCAAACCCCATGGCTGCATCAGGAGGACTCTGCTGCTCAGAGAAGAAAGCAGCAGTTGCTAAATTGCATCCTTTTGTGTCCTCCTAGAACAACAGCAACCCAGCTGAGGACCTCCGCCGTGCCCCGCCGGGACTCCTTGCCCTTGATAACATGGTGTATTTCTCCAGGCACACCCCCAACGCCTACAGCAGGGTGCGTGCTCTCTCCCAGAGAACTCCCTGGCAGAGAGGTGGTGGTGGATCTCCACCTTCTTTTCCTTTCCCTGTAACCTGTCCTTGGCCAAACCCAGGCGAGGACTTGCCTTTTGGGCAAGTGTCCTACTGTTGCCCTGTCTCAGATGGAGCCAAGTCCTCCCTGTGGGCAGGAGCAGCCATTTGAGGCCGGTGGCACTGAAGGATCCCCATAATTTTTAGTGTTTTGCCCACAGCTTGGCTTCCAGGCCTTGTTCATGTCTGAGCAAATCAGGGCGATTTGGGCAAAACCAGCCAGTGGCTGCAGAGCATTAGCCACTCTGACCTGCTGTGCCTGTGGTCAGCTCCTGCACTGCTGCAGGGGAAGAAGGAGCCTGGGTCTGGTTTTTGGGGAGAGCGAATTACTTCTGTTAGGGATGGCTCAACTGGGAGGGCAACAGCTCACCCTCCGAGTCCATGGCCCATTTAACACAAGGCAACGACCCTCTCCTCCAGTTTGTCCTCGAGAACAGCAGCCGGGAAGACAAACATGAATGCCCCTTCGCTCGAAGCAGCATCCAGCTCACCCTGATCCTCTGCGAGATCCTGCATGTTGGAGAGCCATGTACGTGTGTGCCCTGGCTTGCCCTTCTCCCTGCCCTGCTGCCTGCCGGCTGGCAGGAGCAGAGACAAGCTGCCAGGGCAGGGGGCTGCGAACGTGGGGCCACCAGGCTCTGGTGTGACCGACAGCAGGGGAAGGGGAGGTAGGGATGGGAAATGTCCAGGTTCTCCTGGATACTGAAATTCTCTGGAAAAATGGGCAGCTGGCATCATCTCTGTCCTTCTCGCTGCAGGCTCGGAGACGGCTCAGGCCTTTTACCCTATGTTCTTCGGGCAGGATCATTTCTTTGAAGAGCTCTTCTGCATCTGCATCCAGCTGGTGAACAAGACCTGGAAGGAGATGCGCGCTACCCAGGAGGACTTTGACAAGGTGTGAGGAGATGCTGGGGCCCCAGAAGGGAGCTGGGGCCATGGGCTGTGCACAAACTCAGGGGCTCTGGGGAGCGTCACCATGGGGGGTGACGTCCTGGGCCCTGCAGGTGCTGCAGGTGGTGCGGGAGCAGATCACCAGGACCCTGTCCCTCAAGCCCACCTCCCTGGAGCTATTCAAGACCAGAGTGAACGCATTGAACTACAGCGAGATCCTGAAGCTGCGGCAGACGGAGCGGCTGCATCAGGAGGAGACGCTGGCTGTGCCTGTGCTGTGAGTGGGCTGCAGGCAGGGAGCCGGAGCTGCAATGGGGAGCCGTGGGGAGGGATGCCGTGGGGCTCGGGGAGGTCAGCAAGCATCTGCTGAAGTGGCCATGCTCCTCTTCTGCTGGCTGTTGCCCCAGGGAGTTGCGCAAGAGGCTGAAGCCGGAGCTCCTGGAGCTGGTCCGACAGCAGCGCCTGCTGCACCTCTGTGAGGGCACCCTCTTCCGCAAGATCAGCAGCCGCCGCAGGCAGGGTGAGTGCCAGCCCTCTGCTCCTGGGTGGGGGTCCCGGGAGCGGGGCAGAGGCTTGTCCCCACGTACCCTGCCATCGAGGAAGTCGCAGTTAATCTGCGGGGAGTAGCATGCCTGGCTCCCTGGATGGCTGGCGTGGGCTAACCCACGGGGTGGGACCAAGGTGGGGTGTGCTGGTGAGGGGGCAGCTCCATCCACCCGGAGAAGGGGACCTCAGTGCAGGGAGGCTGAGCATTTCCTGATGACCCTTTTGCTGCAGACAAGCTCTGGTACTGCCGCCTGTCACCCAACCACAAGGTCCTGCACTATGGGGACGTGGAGGAGGGGGTGCACTCTCCCCCCATCGAGAGCCTGCCAGAGAAAAGTAGGTGATGGGGAGAAAGAGAGGGTGGGAAGGAGGGAGGGGAGCCCTCTGCCCACCCCAGCTTTGACGGGCTGGGGATGCCTTAAGGTGGGAATTGCCCGTGCCTGGCTGCCATGCACCTGGCCCAGTGCCTGCTGGTTGTGGATGGCTCTGAGCCTCCACTCCCAGGCTCTCAGCCCTGACGCTCGGGCTCTGCTGGGCTCTGAGCGCCAAGGACCTGGGGGAGAGGAGAGTGGGTGCTCACAGCTCCTCCACTTGCCCCAGTTCCTGTGGCGGACATGAAGATGCTGCTTGTGGGGAAGGAGTGTCCGCACACGAAGGAGAAGAGCTCCGGCAAGCAGAACAAGGTCAGCGCCTCCCACCCTGCCTTGCACAGGGGGCCCAGCATGCTCCCCTCCCCAGCTGCTGATGGTTTTTGGTGGTGGGTAGATGGTGGCAGGTCAGGTGGTTTCATGGATGGTGGCAGGTTTTTGACGTGGCTTGAGACTGGAGACCTCTTGGGTCTTCTGGGGTACAGAGGAGGAGGCTGGGAGGCAGCTTCTGCTCTGAACCCTGCCGGGGCTGGAGAGAGTCCAGCTGAGAAGCCAGCTACCCCCTGTGCTGTCCCCACAGGATGTCCTGGAGCTGGCGTTCTCCATCGTGTACGACATGGAGGAATACTGCCTCAACTTTATTGCCCCCACCCGCTATGAGGTGAGCTCCAAGGGCCTGCTGGGGAGGCCCACTGCAGCCAGATGTCCTTGCCAGGGGACAGCAGGTGGGGAAGGGAGTCGCGCATGCCCCCCCCCAGCCCACCCTCCTGGGCTCCCCTGGGGTGGGAGCCACAGCGCAGGGAGAGGGGGGTGGGGTGGGAGCCACAGCGCAGGGAGAGGTGGGCTCTCCGGCTGCCCAGGGCTGGTGCCAGAGACGCCCGTGCTCTGCTTCTCCAGTTCTGCCTCTGGACGGATGGGCTGAACGTGCTCCTGGGCAAGGAGATGACGAGCGAGCGAACGCAGACGGACCTCGATGTCCTGCTGTCCATGGAGCTCAAGCTGCGGCTCCTGGACCTGGAGAACATCAGCATCCCCGACACCCCCCCTCCCATCCCAAAGCCCCCCAGCAACTTAAACTTCTGCTATGACTTCCACCACACAGAGCAGTGAGGTCCTCCCTGTGCCCCTCCCCCTGCTACACCCCCCAGAATCAAACCCCTTCCTTCAGGCTCTGTCCTCCACCTCCTGCCCAAAGGGATGAGCCCAGGTGCTGCCTGCACCTTGCCCATTCCCGGGCAAACTGCCCACCCTTCCCTGCCTGTGTCCTGCCCTCCTGCGAGAGCGTGGGGCTGAGCCACTGAGTGTAAGGCTCCTGTTCAAGGGGGGGTGACCCAACTGCTTTGCCCCCCTGCCATGGGCAGGTGAGACAAAATACTTTCCAGACAGCTGAACCTCTCTGTGGTGGCGCTGACCCCCACACACCCCAGACAGGCTTTGGGCAGAGAGGGCAAGGATGCGGGCAGGAATAAAGGTACAGGCAGCCCTGGGACAGCTGGAGGGGGGGCAGCACTACAAAGGTACGAATCTGCACTGCCTGGCTCTCCCCATCAGCATAGGGGATGCTTTCTGGCCAAGAAAGCGGTTAGAAAAAGGATAAACCACCCTTTCTGCTCAGTGTGGTGAGCAGACGGCATCTCCAGAGCACGGTGTGCCTGCCCCGTCAGGCCCATGCTGCACTGAAACATTTTTCTGCTGATTCTTGTGCACTCCCACTCCTGGAAGGGGGGTGTTTAGGCTACAAGCCCCTTCTCCTAGCACCATTTCAGTTAGGCAGGGGCTTGCTACCGCCGTGCCTCATGTGAGGAGGAGACCCCGGTCTGCCCTTGCTACCCGGCGCTTGTGCCAGTCCTGGTGCCTTCCCCCACCCCAGGTGGGTACTTGCACACTTCAGCTGTGCTGCTGCACTACTGCACCACAAGCTACCTCCTCCCAGCCCCCACAGCTCCCACCCTGGTGCCCCGCACCTCCTTGTGCCTCTACAGCTTCTCCATCGGGTGTAGCCTGTGACTGCAGCCACAGGTCGCCGGGGATCTGACCCTGCCTCTGTCTCCTGCATACTGGGACAATAAACACTTGTGGAGAACCTGAGGATGTGTCCTTTCCAAAGGTTTGGGGAAGGGGCCAAAGTAGACAAGGCTGGGACTGTGCTGCAGCACTGTGGAAGCTGTGGCACAGAGCGTGAAGAAGCCTGAGGGTGGCTGTAAGGCAGGTTTTGTTCCTACTGCTGAGTGGAGGAGCATGCGAGGGGTCAAGTCACCTCCGAGGAAGGTGGCCATGGAGCTGTTTCCAGCCTAGGAAGACTCAGGAGCACTGCAGGTGGTCCTGGTAACAAGCTGGACAGGCTCAGCACCTGCAAGTGAGTCAGTGCCTCTTGGGCTTGAAGCTTGGAGAGCAGCATCCTGGATATAAAGGAGCTGTTGCAAGGAAAGACAGGGCTGGTGAAGGCAGTCGCTGTGAGGCTGCCGCCCTGCAGGGCCAGGCTGTGCAGCCCCAGCTCTTGTCCCACGCACCCAACCACCTCCCAGGAGCCAGCGGAGCTACTGAGGGAGTTGAAAGCAATGTGGCTCGCTCAGCTTCAGGTCAGACTCCCAATGGCTGTGCAGGTCCCTGACATCTTCTCCTAAGAGCCAAGGGAAGGCAACAGGCACAAGCGGGCCAAGGGACCGTACAGGGGAGAAGGAGGGGGGCTGAGATGGGAAGCGCAGGCACCAGCACTCCGAGCCCCTGGGCTACACAGTGGGGCCGGGGGAAAGGCCTCAGGGGCTAGGAACCGCAGAAACCCCCCGGGGACAGGGGAGGCCTGCGGGGACCGAGGGGAACCCCAGGCCCGGTCCCTCCCCTCCCCGGCCTGAGGTAGGCCCGGGCCGCCAGGTACCAGGCGCGGCCCCGCCA